ACAAGTGAATTCTGAGCCATCTGGGTTGAGGCCCCCAAAGTCACCCACTGCTCAGCCTCTAGCCCATGCTGACATGCTGGAGGGCGGGCACTTGACCCTGTCCACGTGGAGCCTGAACTATCTGTAAGCAGACTGGACCCAGTCCTAACTTTTGGAGGGTGGTCTGACCTCTTCTTTGGATCCATCTCTCTAATCTTTTCCTATAGGGCTGGGGGTGTTGTTCATTGGTAGAGTGCCCCTGAGTTCAATTCCTGGTACTGTTTAAAAAAAAAAAAAAAAAAAAGACCTGAGATTTCTAAAGATGCATTTTGAGGTAGAGGTTCACTGTCATTTAAAAGGCCAACACAGAACACACCCCAAGAACACAGAACTGAGAAAGACTGAACTGAAGCCAAATGTCAACCCTTTCTAGGTCTGCCTGGACGGCCCAAGATCATATAAGCCACATCAAGAGCTTTATAGATGGGATCCCAATGTCCAGCTTGTCCTAGAACCAAGCCCATCTCTTCAGAGGGTTCTGGACCAGGACACTATACAAGGAGGAGCCTGGTGTCACTGCCACCCATCTCATGGCTCTCGAGCTCTTTTCCAAACTACCTACTATCTTTTGCTCTCTTCAGCATTCAAAACATGTTGAGTGACTAGCACATGGCAGTCTATGCTCCAGGCCCTGGGGGAACAACAGCAAAAAAGAGACTAATTCTTTGCTCTTGTGGAGCTTATTTATTTGTCTGTTATCCCCCTACCCACAATGAGGGCAGGGTGGAGAGGAAAGACTGTGGCATTACACATCAGATGTACCCTCTGGAGAAAAATACAGGAGTCAGGGGAGAATTATAGTCTTTGACTGGGAGGCTGAGACTCACTGAGCAAAGACTTAAGGAGGTGAAGGAGTCACACTCCATGGGGGTGGAGGAGAAGGTTCTAGAGAGAGGGAAGCAAGTCCCAGAGGCTTCTGTGGGAATGTCCTAGAGTGCTCAAAGATAAGCAAGAGGGTTAGGATGGATGGTACAGAGATGCAGATTTCCCAGAGCTGGAAGGCGCTCTGATAAGGACTCTGCTTTTTACTGAATAAAATGAGAACTACTAGGGATAATGTCTAAGGGCTGTGGGCTGAGGAGTTACATGATTGGACTCTTAAAAACCCTCTCTAGGTTGAAAACAGACCATCAACTTTCAACAGAAGCAGCTTCTTTACCTTGATAAACCACAGCAACTCCTCCAAAACACCCTTCCAGAACACACGTTTGGTTGTCAGCAGAGGAAATTCATCTGAAAAACAGTTTGCCGTACAATTTGAACATGGGAACAGAGAACACATCTTCCAACCTTTCCTGTGGAGGAAAACTGTCCTGGGACGTAAATTCCTAGAGTGACCTTAGGAACATCCAGAAAACTGCAACTCCTGGGATCAGGGAGGAGCTCTAGGCTGCAAGGCAAGTCAGCGACTTGTAGTCAGTGACAAGTCACACTGGCACAGCCCCTCCTGAGCCCTGGCGACTACTGGACACAGCAGTTCCACACAAAGACATGGAGGATGCCCCTGTGGCAAAGGGAAAGAGCTATCACCCACTACCCAGTCCTTGTGAATCCTGTCACACAGGTGTGAAGGCAACACTCAAAATGTTTCCCAGGACACAAGCAATTCCACCATTGTCAAGAATAAACTTAACTCAGTGCAGGGGAACAGATGTCACACTGGTGAAAACTTCAGAATAGTTTTTCAATATTTGTAAAGCAAATCAACATCAATTATTTTAGTGTACCAAAGCCAGCAACTGTTCACTTTTATTCATGATCCTAGTTGATCCTTAGATCAAACCTCCTTGAGGATTCTTTATGATCTTCATTTTACAGGCACCAATGGGAGGGAGGCAACAAGCAAGAGTAAACGTTTATCCCCAAATGCAGCACTAATCGAGGCCACATTACTGTTTGCATAGTTGATATTCATGAAACAGGGATTATTTTCTTTTCAAGCACCTGCTTTTTTATCAGTATTCCCTACTGAGCATTATTTCCTCAATCTTTTAACATTTGGGACTGAAGACTAGAGAGGCAAAGTCACTTGTCCAAGGTCTAAGCAGAGGAAGTGAATTTAAAAACAAGTCTATGGCTGGGTGTAGTGGGGCTGGCCTTGAAATCCCTGAGACTGGGAAAGCTGAGGGAGGAGGATTGAAAGTTCTTGCAAAAGGAAAGCTGGTTGGTGGGAAACCATCAGCTATGGCAACCTAATAAGATCCTGTCTTAAAATAAAAAAAATGAAAAGGACTTGGAGATATAGCTCAGTGGTTGTGGAGAGTCCCTGGGTTCAATCCTCAATGGGGCCTGGGGTGTGGGGGAAGAGGTTCACATCTGTGGTTCATCAGAGTCTACTGTTCTCAGAGCAACATAAGGTGAATTGCTCTGCTCAGAGGAAACCCCTAAGCCGTCCTGGGCACATCTGCCTTGGCAGCTGGTAGTGTGCAGTGTCTGAATGGATGTAGGGTGCGAGGTTTTTCCTCCTAACTACAATGAAGAGTCTCGCCTCTCAAAACCACTCCGCACGCCTGGATCAAGGATGCTCTTTCTTTATTGTGGAAGTCAATGTTACCGTCTGGCTTAAACACCTTGGAGGAGTCCCCTGCCCCGCACAACGGATGCTCAATTCAGGATCACCTGCTGTCAGACGTTAAGGAGCCGCATCTGCTGCCTAACGTTCTGTGCCCTCCCCCAGCCAGTCCTTAGTCTCCAGAAAGCCTGATGCAAACAACCCGTAAGGGGCACTTCTTCCCTGGAGCCATCCTGGGAGGGTGGAGTAAGACCTTTGAGGGCTCTCCGTTTCTTGGCAGGGTTAAGAGGAAAGCGGGTTGGTGCGAAACGGTCAGGAACAAGTTCCCGCCAGCTCCTCGGTTCTCTTCCGCCTTTGCCGCTCCGCCCCTATCATTTTCCCTCCTCTTTTCAACTTTTGCAAAGCGGAACAACCAACCGCGGAGAAAAGAGGAGGGGCAAAGCCAGGACGTGCCCAGGCAGATCTCTCACTGCGTAGCACGGGGCGAGCACTGCGGCACCATGCCAGCAGGAGGCGAGGTAGGCTTAGCCGCGAAGCCATTAGGATCTGGTTCACCTTTCAGCTCTGCCAGTCCCATCTGTGTGACCCTATGTGCATCATTTCTCTAATCAGAGCCTGTTTCAGGGTCTGCAAAGCCGGGACACCGAGGCGTCCCCTGCCTCCCTGTAGCCTGCGCTCTCGGCGGCTCCGGAGCGCTCCCAGCAGCCGCAGCGCGGAGCCTGCGGGAGCCCTTCCTCCCTCCCAGAGGGGACCCAGCCGCGGTCACCTCTCAGGCTGTAGCGTGCCTGCATGCCAAAAACCGACAGGGTGCCGGTGCCGGTGCGGTCCTCCTTCCTGAAGCCGCAGCGCAGGATGTGCTTGATCTGCCCCAGGTACTGCAGCTCCCCGTGCTGCGGCGGCTGCTCTGCGCCCAGCTCCTGTGCGGCTGGCGGCGACAGCGTGCATTGCAACTCGGAGCCGGCGGCAGGCATGGTGAAGGCTGGAGACGCGGACTGCGGCGGGAAACGTGGGCGCCAAAACAGAGCCCTTTCTGCGCGCACTTTCCCCCCAACGCAGCCCTCGCGCTCCGCCTCTTCCTGCTGGAAAGCGGTGGGTCCGCCCGAGCCAACCGGTCCCCGCCGAGCAGCCCTCGGGCTCCGGCGGGGCCCCGCCCAGGGGAAACGTTGCAGTTTAAGATAAACAGTACGCCAGTCTGCTCGAATTTATCCCATCTCGACGGTTAAAACCCGAGAGAACTCCCAAATCCTGCATCTGGGTGCATTGGCGAGAGCCTCTTGGAAAGTTCTCCAGTCCTCTGCCATTCTATGAAGCCGGGAGATTCTGGGACAATTCCCGCTGGTTATACACTCTTAAAGGAAAAGAAAGAAAAGGAAAAACAACCACAACAAAAATTGTTGATATGTTTCCCACAACTAAGGGGACATGCTAACAAGTGATTCGTGTTTCTATTTTCTCCCAGTCCTCACTGAATGTTAGCAGCTGGAGCAAGTTGAATAATGCAGCTTTAAAAAAAAAAAAAACTTGATTAATGATGATCAGAGGCTTTTCAAGTTGTTAACATCACGTTTTTCAATTTTAGTGAAAGTTTAATAATGTAAATGCTAGTGAGTAGGAACTGTTTGATAAGTTTAAAATGTCCGAATACATATGTTGTAATACAGTCTTCAGCATCCATTTATTGAATACATAGTGGGTGCTCAATAAAGTGTTTTATTGTCAGGAGAGATAGAATGTGGGCTCTGCTGAAATATATTAAACCTTGGAGGTGACATTACCTGGGCGTTACCACTGAACTACACTCCCAGCCCGAGTCCATAGTTTTATTCTGGTTATCTCATGTTCATAGTTTTTGCAAGTACCATGCTTTGGGTAAGTAGCCCCCAAAGGCTCATGTTTGAAAATAGCTAAATAGTTTGGTTGCCAGCCCATAATGGGAGGTTGTGAAGGCTTTAGGAAGTGGAGGTCTAATGAAAAGAAGTTAGGTCATTTGGGGCAATTCTCTTAAAAGAGGATAGTGTGGCATCAGCTGCATCTCCATCTCTCTCTCTCTCTCTCTCTCTCTCTCTCTCTCTCTCTCTCTCTCTCTCTCTCTCTCTCTCTCTCTCCCCCTCCCCCCCCCTTCCTGGCTGCTGTGAGATGAATAGCTCCTCCAGTAGGAATCTGAGAGGTCCAACAGGTATGGGCCCAAAGGCAACTGGATCAACAGCAAGATTCTGGTAGCTTTTTGCAAAAGTATACGATGAATGAATGCTCCCAGGGGTCACAATAACTAATATGCATTTGGTTATAGGATAGCAGATACTTTAAATCTACTTAATATATCATCATACTACATTGGCCTATCCTACATCAACCTAGATTCTTCCCTTCTCCCTACTGCTTCAACCCACCTTCACTCCAGTGTAATATTAATTTTTAAAACCCATCTGTATTTCCTTTGGGAAGGTAGACCACCTATATATAGAAGAGAAAAAGTAATATCTTTTCCTAACTTATCTCAACATCATGGCTGACACTCTTATAGCAAAGACAGATTAATAAGAAAAAAAAATTTATTGACTACAAGTTTGTATGATACAGGAGACTTCAGAAATGAAGACCCAAATACCCAGGAAAATTTTATTTTAATGTATAGTTGTACAGAGCATAACCAGAGGACAAAATTCTTTTTGCTTCTGATTACAAGGCAGGACCCCTCTGAAATAAAGGCCTTATGACCTATTTTTCAGGAAGTTAGGTCAGAGAATTCTTTACAGATTGCCTCAGGGAAGAAAGGTGGGAGGACGGTGAGTGATCTTGTGCAGTTTTCTCAGATTTCCTGCAGCTTAAGATATACAGTATGCCAAGGGGCCATATTTGAGGATATTGGCATTAAGTCCTGCCATGTTGTACTGTTGAGTAGGGTCTGGGTGGGGTAGACTGAGGCAGGGTGGACATTCTTTCTGATGGTTGTTTAGAAAGAGATAGGTGGTAAGAAAACCCAAGCTTAAAAGTAGTTCAGAAGCTGGGCGCAGTGGGGCACACCTGTAATCCCAGTGACTCGGGAGGCTGAGACAGGAGGATCATGAGTTTAAACCCAGCCTCAGCAATTTAGCAAGGCCCTAAGCAACTCAGCGAGATCCTATCTTTAATAAAATATTTTTTAAAAGGCTGGGGATGTGGCTCAGTGGTTCAATCCCTGGTACCCAAAAAAAAAAAAAAAAAAAGGGTTTAGACAGGGTATATGGAGCCAATTTGCTGAGCAGAGGCAAGTGCTGGGTGAGCTTAGAGCCGCATAATTTCTCAAAAAGACTGTGTTTGTGTCTTGGATAGAACTGTCCTGCACATTGCAGTGTGCTATCATGCCTGCAGAAAACCAGCCAAATGCAAATGTTTCCCCCAATTAAAAAAAAATATATATATATATATAATCTCCTTGGGCGGGGGGTTGTGGCTCAGTGGCAGAGCACTTACCTTGCATGTGTGAGGCACTGGGTTCAATTCTCAGCACCACATATCAATAAATAAAATAAAGGTCCATTGACAACTAAAAAAATATTAAAACTCTTTGAAAAAAAATCTTTGCATATTTCCAACCACTGGCAGCAACCCAGGCTGAAAAGATCCGAGGGTATCCAGTTGCATGTTACCTATGTGTTTATTTTCCTTATGTTATTATGAACCTGGTCTAATTGTTCTAGCCAAATAGCAGCTGAATTACAATGTGAATCTCAAGACACAAGAGTGGGCTCCCCTGCCCACATGGAGATTTCTCTGTCATGGCCTCCTTGGAGAGCCTAGGTCTGATAATAATAGGGGAAAGGGTCCTTTTGAACTGGCTGCTCTATAAATGTTGGCTAGAATGATCCTCAGACTAACAGCATTCATACATTCAAACATTTCTATCACAGTACCTTCCACGTTTCAATAAGGAGCAAGACAGGCAAGGTCCCTCTTCATAGAACTGATATTCTAGGGGAGACAAACAATCTCAGAGGACCCAGAGATGGACTGGGAGTGCTCAGAGGTAGAGTGCTTGCCTAGCATATATGAGGCCCAGAGTTCCATCCCCAGCCCTTTAATTAGTAACAGGGGTTAAGGTGATGTCCAGATAAAAGGTCAGAGGGTGATCAGGTGGGGTAAGCTGCTCACCAGGCAAGACCTCACTGAGGAGATTAACTGAACCTTGGCAGCTGCAGTGCTTGCATCTAAAACCAAAAATAGAGTTCATATTGATGCTGAGCCTTGTCTCTTTTTTTTTTCCATATTGAATCCTGTCATCTTAGGAAGAAATTATAATTATTAATGGATACAGGAACTTGTTGGAGGATGAAAAAAAAAGGATTAAAAAAAAGTTCTTCCTTCTCATTAAGAGATTTTCTGTTAGCTGGGTGTAGTGGCCCACGCCCATAATCCCAGTGATTTGGGAGGCTGAAGCAGGAGGATTCAGAGTTCAAAGCCAGTTTCAGCAATTTAGCCAGGCCCTAAGCAACTTAGCGAGACCTTGACTCAAAATTAAGAAAAAAATTTTTAAAAGAGGTGGGGATGTGGCTCAGTGATTAAGCAGGCCTGGAGTCATTCCTCAATACCAAAAAAAAAGAGAGACTTTCTGTTAAAATTTTAATTTGGGGGGACATACCCAGGATTGAACCTAGGGGCACTGTACCATTGAGCCACCTCCCCAGCCCCCCCTTTTTTTAAATTTTGTTTTAATTGTTTACACATGACAGTACAATGATCTTGAAATATCATACATTTGAATCAAATGGGGTATAATTTCTCATTATTCTGAGTGTACAAGTTGCAGAATCACATTGGTCATACAGTCACTTATATACATATATATATTTTAGTTGTAAATGGACCCTTATTTATTTATTTATATATGGTGCTGAGACTCAAACCCAGGGCCTCACACATGCTAGGCAAGCGCTCTGCCACTGAGCCACAATCTCAGTCCATCCCCAGCCCTTTTAATTTCTCATTTTGAGACAGGGTCTTGCCAAGTTGCTTAGGGCTTCGCTAAATTGCTGAGCCTGGCTTTGAACTTGCAATCCTCCGGCTTCAGCCTCCCAAGCTGCTGAAATTACAGGCCTGCACGACTGTACCTGGCAAAATTTTTTACTTTTTACTAATGTGTTTAATAATCCTAGCGATGTAAAGTGTATTTTTATGTTATTTTGATCAGTTATGTACAAATGATAATCACAATGATAACTCAATCCAGAATGAACATTTGATACCTAGCATTTGCTATCACAGGATCTGTATCTTTTCAGTTTCCTGTAAGGGAATAGGAGAGAGCAAATATACTTGAAGATTATTAATCTAGAATAAGCCTCCCCACCTTTTTTTTTTTTTTTTTACACAACAAACCCTTAAAAATGTTGGTAAAATTAGGTATAGGACAGCAAGAAACTCACATATTTGAGTCTCAACAATCAAATCAGGCACCTGATGCTTATCATGAATCCCACATTAAGGATTATTTAATGTAGTTCTCATGACGACACTATAAAGCAGAAACTTATTTTTATCATTTTATAGATGACAACAGTGAGGCCTATCAAGGTTAAGGGTAGTGCCCCAAGTCCCAGGGCTCACACTAGAGCAGCCGGGATGGGAAGCCAGGTCAGCCTGGCCGCAGTCTCTCTATCACTTGGCTGTCCTGAGCCTCACCTCCCCTTCTTCTTTCTCTTTCCACCCTACAAGCTTTGGCTAGCTCACCCAAGAGAAAACCATTTCCCTTTACAATTTCTTTTTTGGCAACATCTCTAACAAATATATGAAATGTGTAGTTGGATAGGCTCTATTTATTTATTTTTGTTAGATTTACTGTTCACCATGGAATCCAGGATTTTGTCATTTGTTTAATGTCTTTTTATGGCCTTTGGTTGCAATTTAAGAAAAGCTTTATCTTCTTCAGTTGGTTATATTCCATTGGCTGCCTCTGGACTCTCCCTGACAGGCCTTTCTGCATCAAGATTGTGAAGGTTTAGAGTCTTTAAAAAATAAATAAATTGAGGGGCTGGGGTTGTGGCTCAGTGGTAGAGAGCTTGCCTAGCATGTGTGAGGCACTGGGCTCAATCCCTGGCACCACATAAAAATAAAAACAAATAAAATAAAGGTATTGTGTCCACTTACAACTAAAAAGAATAGTAAAAAAAATAATAATAATTTGAAAGACTGACTCTCTATGTATTCCCAGTGCTATCCTTAGTCATAAATACCAGTAATAATAGATGCCCTATTATTGTGTTGTACCAGGGTCCATATTTTGAGGTTAGGTAAGTGTCAGCCATAAAATATATGCAGTTTTGTGAAAAAAATGTTGTTTTAATATGAAAATGAAACTGCTGTGCACCCATGTTCAAAGCAGCATTATTCACTATAGTGAAAAAGTAGAAACAACGCATTATCCATCCATAGATGAATGGGTAAACAAAATCATGAACATACAGTGGAATATTACTCAACCTTAGAAAAGGAGGGCAGTTCTGATCATTGTACGACCTTCGGTGGGAGAGGGGAGTCCAGGGATTGAACTCAGGGGCACCCAAACACTGAGCCACATCTCCAGCCCTTTTTGTATTTTGTTTGGAGACAGGGTCTCACTGAGTTGCTTAGTGCCTTGCCATTGCTGAGGCTGTTTTTTTTTTAACTCAAGGTCCTCTTGCTTCAGCCTCCCAAGAGCCTCTGGGATTACAGGCTTGTGCCACTGCACCCGGCCCATGAGCAACTTTGATGAACCTTGAAGACATTACCAAACATTAACGGGATGTGTCAGTCACAAAAGGACAAACACCATAGTATTCCATATATGTAAGGAATGCAGAGCAGTCAAACTCATAGAGATAGAAAGTAGAGTGGTGGTGGTTGTGGGGCTGGCAGGTGGGAGGAGTGGGGACTTAGTGTTTAATGGGTGCAGAGTTTCAGGTTAAGAAGATGAAAACAATTTTGGAGATGGATGGCAGTGCTGGTTACAGTAGAAATGTTCGTACTAACGCCACGGAACTGCATGCTTTAAAATGGTTTAAATCATAAGATTTATGCTATGTGTAAATTCACCACAATAAAAAAAATACGCAGAAGCTGTGGCTTTTACCAAATAAAGGAATAAATTAGTTTCTTTTTCAAATAGTCAATTATAATACACTTTACTAAAAGCCAAATTAAAGAAAAGAGACTTTCTTAACTAGAAAATGGCACATTTGTAGAAATGATGGAACACAATGATTTAATATTTATTTATTTAATTTTAATATTTATTTAATTTTCAAAGAATTACTAATTTATCATAGAATACAGTGCATATGTGTTTGATTTTTTTTTTTTTGGTGGTACTGGAGATTGAACCCAGGGGTGTTCCCCAGCCCTTTTTATTTTATTTTTATTTTGAGACAGGGCCTCACTAGGTTGCTTAGGGCCTTGCTAAGTTGCTGAGGCTGGCCTCAAACTTGTGATCCTTCTGTCTCAGCCTCCTGAGTTTCTGGGATTATAGAAATATACCACCGCACCTAGAAGTATATTTGATTTTTAAGACATTTTCATTTGAACTCAGTTTGACTAGCTATTAAATTGTCATTCAAGACAAGCAAATTAACAGTACTTCATAATAAATAATTAACTTGCTTTCCTGCAACTAGGATTAATGCACTACCCTGAATCGTATTTCAGGATTTTCAGGTCTCAGCGGACGAAGTAATTCTTCTTGTATTACATCTTCTTACCTTAAAAAAAAAAAAAGTAACAATGATCAAAATATTGCTTACTTATTTATAGATAGCATTTTTTTTTCTTGGAGTGAAAGTTCAGAATAGGTAATAGCATAAATGCTGTTGGGTTTTGGAAGAAATATATAGCAAAATAATGGAAAACCCACATGGATGGATATTCTTATTATTGCTTGAAAAAATCATAGTTCCCCTAGTGTGTGGAACCTGTAGGATGGTCCCTGTGATGGATTCTTACCATCATCGCTGTGAAAGGAACACACACAAAAAAATTTTTTGAGAAAATCCTGTGTGCACATAGAGTGCAGAGTAAACCATTTTCACACCAAGGAAAGGACCATCTTGTTTTGTGCTGGGGATTTAATGTGCTCTGCCACTGAGCTGTATCACAGGGACCATCCTACAGGTTCCACACACCAGGGGAACTATGATTTCTTCAAGAAATAATAAGAATATCCATCCATGTGGGTTTCCCATTATTTTGCTATATATATGTATTTTTTCCAAAACCCAAGAGCATTTATGCTATTACCTATTGTGAACTTTCACTCCAAGAAAAAGGAAAGCTATCTATAACTCACACTCCATAGCTTGCTGTTCAGAATCCTCCTGACCTCTTCCCAATGTTGCTGTTCCACCTTCACCTCCTGCTCTTCTTGTTGTGTTCTGTTTATTGATACACGTGTTAATTAATGGGTCTGATATACGCTAGACACAATCCTAGGCCCCTGGAATCAGGGGGGGAAGCAGAAACCCTAAAATGGTACCTACTCTCGTGGAAAGAAGCACATGGCTAAAGGTGAAATTCTGCATAGTGTTAAGGGGATCCAGTCTAGTCTAGAGGTCAGGTGTGTTGTCCCTGAAGAAGTGACAATTTGAACCGAGATCTATTGATGCCTCAGAGTTACCTAGACAAAGGGGTTAAAGGTGTTGCGACTGTTGGGATGCCCTTCTGTCCCTGGTCTAGAGGTAGACACACATGACCCAACTGGATCTGATAACCCCCTGCAAGTCAAATCCTGAACAGAGTCACTTGAGCACATAAAACCACTGCAGCTGCTTCACCCTGACCACTGGGCCCTAAGAAAGGGTTCACTGGTCCTACCTTCCAGGTTTCTGAGCTACCTGGTTCCAGCCCTGGCCCAGGCATGGTCCTCCAGTTCTCCTTTGATTTTGTGAGTCAGACAGTATCCTCCCATTTTTTGCTGAGTTAGTCCTGATGGTAACTAAAGAAAGAACCCAGACTCCCCTAGAGGAGCCAGAAGGTCTCTGAAGAGGGAAGCTCAAGGGATATTCCACATCCCTGATGCCTTGACACTCACTTTTCTTGACCTGTTGGCTCACGTTTTCCATTTTTTTTTTCTTGGTAATTTTTGGGGGCTACCTCCATTATTTGATTATTCACCTACATATATATTTTAACTGATTATTTTTTCTTAAGGAAGGGAGAAGAGAGGATGGAAGGAAGGAAAGGGTAAAGGAAAAGAGAGAAAGAAAGGACTGGATAAGATAGAAAGGGGGTGGAAAAGGAAGAAAGGAAATACATCCAGCTGAGTAGTTTCTCCCCTACCAGAAAGCGAATGACCCTCTCTGGAATGCCCAGAACCTGCTCATTGGACTCACAAAATCCTGCCTGGCACTGATAATATGTGTCTGTATTCTATTCTGCTGGATAGACTTCTTTGGGACAGGATCTTTTCAAATTCCTCATTTTCTCCTCCACTGCACCTGAGTCCTGTGCTTTAACCTAATAGATGTTACAAAGATCTTGGTTGGCAGCCAGGAATGATGGCACATACCTGTAATCCCAGCTACTTAGAGACTGAGGAAGGAGAACTGCAAGTTCAAGACTGGCTGGGCCAGTTTAGTGAGACCCTGTCTTAAAATAAAAAGGGCTAGGATTAAGCTGGGCATGGTGGTCCACATCTACAATCCAACCACTTGGGAGGCTGAGGCAGGAGGATCACAAACTTGAGGCCAGCCCTAAACCAGGCCCTAAGCAACTTAGTGATACCCTGTCTGAAAATTTTTAAAAAGGGCTGGGGGTGTGGTTCAGTGTAAAGCCCCTCTGGGTTCAATCCCCAGTACCTCCCCAGCCCCCCACCCTTATTAATAGGGTGAGGGCTGGGACTGTAGTTCAGGGGTAGAGTATATGTCCAGCATGTACAAGGCCCTGGGTTCACTTTCTAGTACAACAGAAAGAAGAAAAGGAAAAAATAAATAAAATAAGCAAATCCATATTATTTTTCTGCCTATAACATAAGAGAATTTCCAATTTATCACACTGGTATCTAGATTTCATGGGGCTTTTTAAAATTTGCACATTTGCTAGGCAGAAAATGATGTCTTGTTTGTTTTCATGTCTTTGATTGTTGTGAAATCGAACATATTTCCCAGAGAGTTTTAAAACTAGTTTTATTTTTTCCTTTTATGAATCATCTACTCCTGTCAAAGCATTCTTAATCAGGCACTCTGCTTACCAAGTTTGAAAACGTTCCTTAAGATGCTGAAGAACTTTCGTTACTACATAGTCAATGAAGTTGGAACTCTCAGCACTTTCTTCAAGAGGAATCCCCAATGCAGACTTAGGGGAAGGTAGAATGCTTGATTCTACCACTGGGTCATCTTGTTTGGAAGAATTTCCTTCATGAGCTCTTGGAACTGCCTAAAAGAAGGATTGTCCAGTAAAATTAATACATTGGTCAGGATAGGCTAAGTTGTGCTGAGGGAACAAATTAGTCCCAACATTCCAGTGACTTCATATCACAAAAGTTTATCTCTTGTTCTTGTTACATGTCCCTTATAAGGGCACTACACTATATAGACACCTGGATGATAGAAGCACATCATCTTATGGCTAAGGCACCTGAACACCTTTTTTTTTTTCTCAGCAGAGGAAGAATATACATGGCTTTTCACTTTTGTATCTTAGAAATAATCCTTATCGTTTTTACTCATATTTCGTTGGTCCCGCCTTGCGACATGGCATGACTTAACCACAATAGGAACCAGAAAACTGAAGTGAGCAGATAAAATGTTTAATGACTTTTGTTTGTGCCACTGGTATTAATGTGAAGTACAAAGTTTTGCTCTTAAGTTTTCCTAGGAAATTCACAATTTATGGATGTATGTGTGAAATGCCCATCCGTTACTCTTAATGAATTCTCAAGTGTGTTTGCTTCAATTTCAATCATTTACATGGCACTGAACTGACATGCAACCTGTTGTCATCTGAAGAGAACTATTTTGGAAATGTTTTTCAATAAATACCCTTATCAGAAGAACTAAAGCAAAAAAAATGAGGCCAGGTTGAAGTCAGTAACTTTATAAGTTTTCAAGTTTATAAAGGAATGGCTTGCATAAGATTTTCCCCTTCTTTTTTAGTGAATATAATATTCATAAAACTGTATAAAGCCTTTTTGTCTAGTTTAATAAATAACCTTAAAGTAAACACACCTGTAACTACAACCAGGGCCCGAATTTTTTTTTTCACTTCAATGCTTGCTCTTTTATGGGTTTGCACTTTCCCTTACATGATTAAATAAGAACCGGGTCCAGATGAACCTGCTTGAGTTTGCATTCCAGTTCTCCCACTTACTAGCTACCCTTGTACTAGTTGCTTCTGTTCTCTTGTGCCTCATCTGAAACATTGGGAATATAATACTACTTACCTGCTATGGTTTGGATGTGGCTTCTCCCCACCCAAATTGATGTTAACATTTGGTTCCCAGCAGAGCTTTATTGAGAAGTGGTGGAAGTGATTAGGTCATGTGGAAGTAAGTTAGGTCCAGAGGGACTGGATCGATTACCACCAGAGCAGAAGTTATAAAGCAAGCCTGGCACCTCTCCCTCATACTTCCTCTTGGTCTCTCTCATCCATGTGCTCTCCTCACATGCACGCCTGCTTCCCTGTTCCCTTCCCATGTGGAGGAGCACATGGCCCTCGTCAGAAGCTAAGCAGAGTCACCCCATGATCTCGAACTTTCCAGTCTCTAGAACACTGAGCTAAATAAACCTCTTTATTTTTATTTTTTTATAAATCACTCATGCTTGGGTCCCCCATGGTGCTGGGAATTATTGAACTGAGGGCTTCATGCATGTTAAGCACAAACTGTACCCCAGTCTCTGTATTCTGTAACAGCAACAAAAAATGTACTAAGACATTACCTTATATGATCACTGAGGGGAATAAAATGGTCAGACTATATAGGAAAAAATGTTAGAACATTGCCCAAAACATAGTCAATGCTCTTTAGTGATGATGGTTATCATAAAGATATATATATATTGAAAACCATAATTTTATTTTATATGGAGGTTTTTATACATAGGTACTTTTGTTATCAATCTAAAGAACTTCAGATAAATCTGCTGTTGTTACTCAGATACCCTAGAACGGGAGCAAATTAAAGTACAGAAAGGAAAATAATGATTAAAAAAATTACACATCAACTGTAGCTTTCTAAAGGTTGAAAGCACTGATAAAGATTTTCTTAAAATTTCATCCTTTAAGACAAGTTTTTTCTCATTGACCCAAAAGTCCATATGTGTGAGGATAATTAAACTCATTGAATTCTTTTGCCCTCCTAGAGTGTGACCTAATAATGTCACAGAATTTGAATCAGCAGCGACAGCAACAGTGGCTTTCAGCACCCTTTGGCTATGGTCTGCAAAAACAAATGCATTTTACATTATGATTCAAAATACATATGTCTACATTGTGTGTAAATATTCATATATCTGCACACTCACATGCACGTTGGAAATGAAAGTTCTATGACATGCATATGACTTACTCAATGCACTGCATGCTACTCTTTTCTGTCCTATATTTTGTGTATTTATTTATTTATTTATTTTAAAATGTGCTTGTTTTGCTTTTTTTTCAAGCTGTGCATGGACCAAACTTTGTGGGTTGAAATAGAGCTGGATGACAGAGTAGCAGGTCAAATTCCCAAGAAGCAGAGCTGGAGATCTTAACATGAGTGATTGAAAGGGATGCTCTCAGGGACCACTGTTAAGGGGGTGAGGAAAAGCAAACTAGAAGAGGGAGTAACTAAGCAAGGAAATGGCTTCAGGTGACCTCTAGCCCCTGGCTCCATCCTGCAGAGATGGATGGTGCTCAGTAGCCCCGAGGGAAGAAATCCCTTGGAGAAGTAGTCAGCAGAGTGGAAACTGGTAAAAAAAAAAGATGCCCAGGAATCTGGGTAGGGCGCCAATATCACATGCTGCTCAGAATATTGCATCTTTGATTGTTCAGCCTAGTGATTTTTGTGTTCAGGTGTTTTTAGGAACCCCTGAATACAAACCTCATCAGGAATCACCATGGTGCATTTATGTAATTAACGTGTAACGTGTGGTTGTGGGGGTACCTGTCTGAGGAAAGAAAGTAGGTCACTGTTTTATGCAACAAAGAGTTCTTGATTGGATGTGGGAGTCAGTATAGCTGCAACGGAAGATGAGAGTATCTTCCTATGTGAAAATAAATTTATAAAGTGTGTGTCATTATCAGCCAGGGGGTTTTGCTCTGTGATAGAGGGCTTGTCTGGCATATGTGAGGCCTTAGGTTCTGTTCCCAAGCACAGCAATAAATAAACTAAAATTAAATTAAATAGACATAATTCTCAAGGTAGCTCATAACTCAGCAGCTTATTATTATGTCAAAAACTAATAAGACTAGCTGGGTGTGGTGGTGAATGTCTGAAAGTCTGGCGACTCAAGAGGTTGAGGTGGAAGGATCGAAAGTTTCAGGTCAGCCTCAGCAATGTAGTGAGGTCCTTAGCAACTTAGTGAGACACACACACACACACACACACACACACACACACACACAAATAAGAACTATAATTTACAGAATTCTTCATTTGCATAAGGAACCTGTGGTACTAGATTTTCAGACAAACATTTTAAGGTGGCTGTTATTATTTCTATTTTTCAAGGGGAAAACTGAGGCCTAGAAAAGTTAAGGAACTTTCCCACGCTTTCTTAGCTGTTTCAAAGTCAAATTTTGAACTTCAATTGCTTTACCTGTAAGTCTTCTCCCTTAAAAAATGACATTGTCAAAAAAAAAAAAAAAAACCAAAAATTCCAAAAAAAATGACATTGTCTAGTTTTCCTTCAAGGTTACCTCCATCAGTTCTAGTCCTAAAACCATGAGCAGAATTAGCCATCACTGGATTAGAAAGTATTTTTCATTTTAAATTGATTTAAAGTATTTTGTGTTTTAAATTGATTTTCTGTATAGGATTTCTTGTTCTCTAATGTAGCTCATTAAATCAAGTCAGCCTGAATATAATCACAATGGAAACAGGAATATTCTCCCCCACTTGTTTTCATATTCAGATATAATTATTAAATAAACTAATGAAGAATCAAAGCACACACACATAATCTCCATACCTGCTCTCCTGCTCTGGATCTCGCCATTACCTTTATTGAATTAAAGATGTTCTCAGCTCCTAGGCTCTGGTTTGCCAGTTCAGACACCCAGCCAAACTGCTGGCTCATCCTCTCCATCAGATCCATGGTGTCCTCCAAGTGATGCTGGATCATCTGGACAACCTGGTCGTATTGCTCATTGGACACATTGACCAGTCTAAGGGCCTTATCCAATTCTATGTGTAGGTCAGCCACATCGGGACAGTCTAGCAAAGAAGACACATGGTCAAAGAGAAAGTCCCTGGAGACTGGCAGTGAGTGACATGGGCTTAAGTATCAGAGAGTTCCTAGTTTGTGCCTGCAGTTCTGATGAGTGGCCATTCATACTATCCATGTTGGTTTCCAAGGGGATCCAGTTAATGATATGGTTTTATGTAATAGAAACAGGGCTGGAAACAGAACTTCATATTGTAAATACAACATTCCTAACTACCCATGTTAAGGAAAAAGAAATATTACTAAAGCAGAAGAAGATCCTGCTGTGCCCCTTCATAGCACATCCTCTTAATCTCCTTAAAAGGAAACTACTGTTTTAAATTTGGATGTGAAAGTCCAGTACCAGTAATTGGCATAGGAAATAGGAACCCCTAATAGTAAACACTTAAAGTTAGGACCAAAAATGTATATAGTAAACTGTGAAAACATGACTAGTGATGTTTGGAAAAATATTTTACTTATCTTGTATTTATCAGACATGAGATTATAACTAGAGCTATGTGCTTAGTCTTAGAAGAAAGTATCAAATATCAATTGAAGAGGCAAAATTACTGTTTGATCAAATATAGGAGAGTCATTTGAATAACAAAACTTTGAAACATCTTAAAGGTACTTCAACTAGTGAATGGAATCTATGGGACACAATGAAAGCAGTTTTAAGAGGAAAATTCATCGCCTGGTGGTCATTCCTCAAAAAAAGAAAAAACCAACAAATAAATGAGCTCAC